GCCTTCACCCCTCTACGGCTCTGCCCATTCTGCTCACACCCTCTTTACATAACCTACCCCTTAACATTCTTGTTAACCCCTCTGACTATCAAATAGACAGAAAAAAAGGAAAAATAGTACGTACAGATATCTACAAGAAATATGCACAAATAAGCACCCTCATCGCTCAAAGTGCAAATGATGAAGCATCAAGCTGATTCAAGTCGGAATCTATTGCTACAAGTATCCAGAATTTAGTTATAATACTAGACTCTGGGCAAAGGATAATCATGTTAATTCGCCCTCCCTGCAAGTCTGCAACTCCACAAAATAAAGCTTAACGTATAAGCATCCATTTATTAGTCAACCGTGCAGCCAATTTTACATCGAATAAAAAAGATTTTAAGCCTGGTACAACCATCATACGATACTCAACCCTGCTTGTACAATAAAATAAGCTAAAAGTTATCTAAAATGTGCAACTTTAAATACTTATCAACCAATTATTTTATACAGTCTGAACACGGAAGTTAAAATGTCCTTTTTCCACAATAACACGTTCAACTTAATGTTCACAACCATCAGATACAGTATGGGCTTTGTTGAACACTTTTGGCCCTAAAGAATTAAGACATGCTGAGCTATACTAGGAGGAGAGATTTATTCTTGTGCAAGACTATGAGAATTAGCCTTTTGTAATCACTTTATCCCGGCCTCAGTTTACAAGGGCCAGGAGGTATTAGATAATATTAAGCCAATGGCAGGTGATAAATCTCAGTAAAGAATAAGCAATGCATAATAACTGTAAGACCTAGATATATTTTGTAGAGGATGACTTTAATGTCATTGGGCCAGGAAGTGTCTTTTTCTAAGGATTTTAGCCTAATCTATTTTTCCATTCTTATGTTAAGAACATACAGAATGGCCTTAGTTGGGCCAAGTGTTGTCTTGGACTCTTGGGCCACCAACTAGCCTTATAAACATTTGACCCGACAGGCCAGACTCCATCTTCAAAATCTTAATCTAAAAATGAAAGACCTCCAATACATTCAATGAACAGTTCACCCTTTGCAATTGCTGTCGGCACAAGCCTAAGTATCAGCTGAAGAAACTAAAGGGTTAAAGGACAAGAAATAGCAGGAATATGGACATAAAATTCTATCTTATCATGCATGACTTTGCTTCATTATAGGAGGACTTCTTTAAATCATACCGAACACTATATTTGTTTTGTAGAGCTCTGTTCAGACCAAAAATAAATAAATAAATAAAAATTAAGAAGTTTATAATTACTTAGAATTACTCTACAAAACTTGAGAAAAATTAAGAAGTTTATAATTAATTAGAATTACTCTACAAAATTAAGAAGTTTAAAATTTAAAATTAAAAAATAATTACAATAGATTCAGGAACCTTAAGAAGAGAGCTTCTTTTTTTTTATATATATAAAAAAAAGGAACCTTAAAAAGAGAGGGCTTACAGGTCCACCAGATTCAAGAAAATATTTTGGTTTAAAAAATTTAAATTTTCAAATAAGTGTTACATCTAGAAGGGGCACATTAGGAAAATTGTTAGAAGTGTGCACCTAAGAGAAGCTAAAAACTGTCTAGTCTGTAAAGATGCCAAAATTTAAACCAGGAATTTCCTTATCATTCTTCTCCCATCAAAAAAAAAAAAATCAAAACGGTGCAGAAAATTAATGCCCCCTTACATTGCTTAAATTTTTTTATACTGCACCTGATTATGACCAAAAACAGTAACAGGGACAACCCAGCTAACCCCCCCCCCCAAATAGCCTATGTCTGAGACTCTGAGGAACACCGTCCATGAAAACGAATCTAGTGCCTCTCCATTAGCATAGCACAAGGACACACGTAAGGAGATAACACGTAGCCTTCAAGCCAAAAAATTCTCACAAGTATTAAGTTTCTTCAAACATGCGTATACAGCATACCCACATACCCTGGCATGCTATAAAAAAGGTGGAGCTTTTTCAAGTATTAGGTTTATTCAAACATGCATAACCTTTCTCAAAAAGGTGGAAATAGGAAAAAGTTGAGGGTTAGGAATTGGATATAAAAGGAGCAGAAGTAAATAACCTGAAGAATTAGCTATCAAGTTTGTATGCTCCTTTCCATTCCCACTCATAAAAAAATCCTCCTAAACCGAAAAATCCCAGAAGTGCCACTACTTCCTACATAAAAATGTAAAATAGAAGAATGGTGAACGGTAGAAACCAGTAGAAGTAATGATAAATACACTAAAATTTGGTCTTTCGCCCAAAAACCCTCCCTAAGTAATGCACCCCTTCATTATCCCCCTTGTAATTTCACCAAGGGAAAAATTTACCCCAATAATCCAATATAGTTGTACCTACTCCAATTTACCCTATGCCTAGGATAACTAGGATATTTTGTGAAAAACTCCATAACCATCTTTCAGCTAGAGAAAAGGTTTTAGATTTCACACAACCAAAACTAAAACCTCCTTCCTCAAAATTACAAATTCACTCCCATATCACAAGGTGATACCTCCTACCATCTTCATTTGCCTTAGACCATATATGATATTCATTATCATCTCAAAGACATCAGCCATAGCCAAGTTGAAAAGGGGGGAAATTGGTGAAGATTAGCAAGTCTGAATGAATGCCATAAACACTCCCACCCCCTGGAGAATTGGGGACAAACCCTTTTCCACCCAAGTTCCTAAAAACCTTCTTAACAACCAATGCCCAAGATGATGCCTACAAGATATATCACCCCAAAGGAAGAGCAAAGTATACAGAGACAACCATAGTCCGCAGAAACTCCCTTGGAATAGCTTAGCTTCTATGTGTACTTGTGTAGTTGGACCATCCATCCTTCAAGTAGTCAGCTCTCCCTAATAGGTTTACGTGGCAATACAATATTTTCTAAAACCATAACCAAGGTTAGCTTTCCCTAGTATGTAACTTTAATCATCATATATTTTAACCTGAAACTGACGATACTATACTAGCCAAGCAAAGAGAGCAAAGATCAACACCTAAACTAAGCTTCAGAGGTTCATAAAGATTCTTTTTGAAGACATGGAGAACTACACATATTAATTACCTCATCCCAAACACAATACTGGTATTCAAATTTGAAACTGCATTATTCAAGTTACCTAAAATTCTATTAAAAAATGAAAACATATAAAATGATCTCCACATCCTACATACCGAAGTAACCATAAGCAATATTTTGAAATTAATTGCACTTTCCTTGCATATTATTTGAAAACTAAGACTTACATGAGTTTTAAGACAACAATTAGAGTTCAAATGTTGGCGATGTTCACCTCTGTTGTTTTCAACTAGTAGCATAAAAGGTATTTGGTAAGGTACTGAAAAAAAAAAAAAAATATATATATATATATAGGGCTAAAATGATTTTTATAAATAATAATAAATATAATAATAATAATCCCTCCAACAATAATAAGTTTCAACTATGCCAAAAATGGTTATCTAATGTTTTCAGCTATCAAATACTCGCATCTCTCCATAGTTTCAGCAATTTAAACAACTAATTTTACGAAACATTTTATACTAATCAGCGTCTAAAACTCAAGTTTCAACTGGTTTTTTCCAACCACAACATCCAAAACCATTATTGTATTTAATAGAATCAACATCATCACATGTAACTCTCAAATTCTTTAGGGATATGATGTCACAAACTCGAAGCCGACACATTCAATTAGAAAGAACAAATGCAGCAAAATTCTAGCAAAAAATCTAGCAAAACTACCCGCTTAAAGTTCAACGTTGCATCCAATTGCTACAAAATTAACCTAATTCTTCGTTTGAAATTAAAATAAAAACAAAAAAAAAGCAAGATAAATTACACTTTTAAAAACGAAAGTAAATAGACTTTCCAGCATAATCGTGGGCTACAGAATCCAAATTACGAATAACTCAACGAAATTCAATGAAATATACCAAAAATCGCCTCCGAAATTCCAGAAAATTCAAGTAAGAAATCGAAATTCAGCAGAAATACGAAGCTGATGAGAATTCGAAGAGAACGAAATTATAACGAGAACACAAACAAAGTTAAAATTGACATGCATCACTATAATTAGTGAAGCATAAAAATGGAGGAGTAATATTGAAGAAAAATCAGTGAAATGTGAAGAACCTGAGAATGTGAGAGACGTAATGAATTTGCAGAAGAGCGAGCTTTCGAGTTTCATATCGATGAATCGTTTGTCCTCCGAGTAAATGCTCAGTATTTCGTAGTTCATAAGGGAAAAAAGAATAAAGAATCAGTTCAAGTGCAACTCCGTAAGAGAGAAAAAAAAAAAAAAAACAATATTTTTTCTGTTTCATAATAATCGCAATACTTTGATTGGTATGCATGTCAATACACAACTTTGACTATTAATATTTGTAATTATATAATTATTAAGATGTATAAAGGGTTAATATAATGAAAATATACGTAAAGGCTGATAAAAAATTATTTTACATGTCAACATATGTTTGTTTATATATGGATAAAAAGTACAGTTAAAGTAAGCTTATGAATAATACAAAAGTCAAACTGTTGCGGTTGTTACAAATCGGAGAGAACACTATAATAGAGATCCTAACCATCCTGTATCAAAATAGGAAACGTTCCATGTACTTTAGAAGCAAACAGAAAGAGTCATGCAAGAATTTACAAACGAGGAGAGTTATGTTTGGCCAAGTTTTTGGAAAACAACTTCTGTTTCCTAGAAGTAGTTTTCCATAAACTATTTCTAGAGAAACACTTGCAAGAAACAGAATTGTTTGGCCCATCAAAAATCAGAAGTGATTCTTAGATTGAGAAACTAATTTACTCTGTTTGGCCTATATTAGTTTTTTTTTTAATTTTTTATTTGGGAGAATAAATTAGTATTAATTTCTTATACATTGTTGTTAATAATGGTTGTTTATTTTTATTTTTTTTGAGTAAATTGTTTATAATAGTTTGATGATAAAAATTTAATTTGAAATTTTGATCAATTCATAAGTCTAATACTTAGATTATATTGTCAAAATATAAAAAAATCCATATCCAAAAGTTTCATATGTTCATAATTACCCATTATTGAACCCAAATGTCTGATATTATTATTCCTAATAAAAGACCCAATAATGTTACAATCCACGACTCTTTAGAGAAGTTGCAATATTGTAACGAATAGACTCCATACTAAAATCATCCATCAGTCCATGTTCTTCAAGAGTAGTTACCAAGTTGCCTCCAATTTCCTCATCCCCTTCAACTTTAGGTATATATATAATAAGGATCTGCATCACATTTATCAAATTCCAAATCTTCAAGTGCGTGTCTTCTTATATAGTTATGCATAGCCATAGTAGCTGCAACAAGTTTCTTTTGAGTTTCCAACGGAAAGCTGGGCATATTTAATAATATCCTCCATCTTTTTTTCCAGACGCCAAATGTTCTCTCTATAACGTTTCTCAACGACGAATGTGAATAATTAAAGACCTCGTAGAAATCATTTGGAGGTTGTGTTGAACGACGAAAATCAAGAACATGGTATCGTTCACCTTTAAAAGGAGCCAAAAATCCTTTCATATTCGGATAACCTGCGTCAACAACATAGCTAGCGAGGAGCTGCAGAATTCAAATGAATAACTTATTTGTTTTTTTCCTTTTTCTTTTAGGGGGTGGGGTGGTTGAGGGCTTTAGTGAAGAAAACAAGAGGAGGAGGATACACTTACCATTGATATTGGTCCTCCAACAGCAGATTTTGCCTACATCACAACACCTTCTAGTACCAGCCCTTGACTGAGAATTGGTAAAGGCACTGCAGTTTCGAAGCATGCACTAAACAGGGGTTTTCAACTCAGAAGTTTCATCACCAGAAAGGTGAGAGATGAAACCATAAAATCCTTGAACAACTTTGTAGCATAAGCTGGAAATTCAAGTCTTTCAGCACTTTGAAGGCGTTCGATGCACAATGATGTAAACAAGAAAGTAGGCACATAATGCTGTATTGACGCCAAAAAAAATTAATAAGAATTTGCAGAGTCGAAGATACTTCCTAAATTTCTGCATAAGCCGAATATGAGTCAACAACACAGAAAAATAAAGTGCAATATCTAGATTCTTCAACTAATAAGGATCATCTTTAACATCATATTCAATATTAGGCCCAGCCAAAGTCATGCAGAAATATAAACATACCTACATATCATAACACTTTTAAAGGACCTATAAAGACCTGTTGGAGAACCCAAGTAAGCAGCATATAATTGCTAAATACTAATAGTTTCAAGCTACAAAGCTCCTGTCTTATCACACCTTCCACTCTTCCTGGTAACCAGTTGTACACAAGGAACTAATATGAGTAATTCAGCATTCCAGACTACATTATCAAACAAATTCCAGTCCATTTGGGTCAAAAATGACTGTACATGAGACAATTTTAAGGTCTGCACTTCAAAGACTGATTGGGGGAGAACCCAGTAACTAACAAATTAATGTGCCAATACCTTTAAGAAGGTTAAAGTTTTAGCAACCTAACCTGCCTTTTTAGTAGCCAAATATGAAATAATCCAGTCTCCTCTCACTGTTGCTTTCCTTTCTCAAACATCATTTATGTCTCTCAAGTATAACACTTCGCAAGATATTTAGCTTTTTCAGAAAATAGTAGAGTTGCAAAATTAATCTCTAGTTAATACTCTACCATTGAAAACAGATTAATAACAGTGCCAGATTATCAGTCTACTATCATGATATCATCACATTTTAATGAAAGCTTACCATCAATCAAGTGTATTAGAATCTTTTGATGCATTATTTTTCTCTCTCTTGTACCGAGCAAGGTGTTCATGATACTCTTCCAGCTCCTTCTCCAACTTTTCGATGAATTGACTTGTATGCTCAAGGGACTGTTCATACTGATACTTCTCCAAGGCCTAAAAAAAAAAGAAAAAATCTATTAAAGGTATGATAGAATAGACACTGTAGCAACATAGGGAATTTACCACACCAAACAGCATTAGAATGTAAAATTACCTTTGCCTTTGACAGTGTATCAGGAGGAGACATAACATCTGGCTGCACATAATTCTTTCCCCGGTAAAAAATTATAGTGTTGTCAGGCTTTATGTCAATAACAATACCTTTGCTCAGTTGTACAAGCTCTTCCGCAATTTCATGAACCTGCCCAGGCTTACAAGGTTTACAAACAACCTTAACCGTTTCATGCTTTTTCCAATGCAAATGCATGTTGAGCACAACTCCCCCAAAGACTCCTCGTCTCCCAACAGGAACATAATTCTTCTTTTTCTCACCAGTGCGTTTCAAATAAAATTTCTCTTCTTCTGTTAAACTTTCAGGATCATGTGTATCAGCTGGAGCCTTAGGTAACTCAAATTTTGTCAACTTCTCAATCAGCCAAGCTTCCTTTCGCTTTGCCTAAGGAGAGAACTGAATGCATTAAAACATTGTGCAACGTACATTGCACTATATTGTCTATATGCATGCCAAGGCATCGCAGTCAATATTATAACCTTTCCCCACTAACATTGCATTATTCTTCCACTTGGGGGTTATTTCCAATCTTTCTCGTCGTTTATGGATGGAAGTTTATCTGAGATTAAGCTGCATTTGGCGTGGATGATGGGATAGAAACCAGAAAATTTACTTTATAGCACAGCACCATGTGGTGCCGCAATATCAAAGTTGAAATGCATACAAAAGTTGAGACTTGAGACAATGCGAAAAGGCACCACCTTTCCTCTGTCTTGTTTTTCAGAAACCAGAAATGGCAAGGGTTGAGTTCTATAGCTTTTAGCAAAATGTACAACCATAATCCTAACTAGAGACTAAGTGCTTGTTTGGTTAAAATATATTGTGTTTGGTTAAAAATTTCCTAGGAAATTAAATTTCTAAGGGAAATGTAAATTCCCACATCGTATGGGAAATAACTCACCAAGCCCCCCCCCAAGTGAGTGAATTCCTACAATGCATAGGAAGTTATTTCCTAGGAAATACTAATTCCCATGATGTTAACCAAACACTTTTGCCCAAATTTTATGCAATTAGCAAGGGAAAAAACTTCCCATGGCATATGATTTCATGTGGGAATTTATTTTCCATGTTGAACCAAACAAGCACTTATATAAAAGTTGACAAGATTTAGTTATAAAATTCAAAAACAGCCATATTAATATGATGGGAAAATGTAATTATCATCTTCGGATCAAAATCATCACATTGCTAATTGTGTCAATCGTGCAATGATTAACTATTAAGAGATGCCTAGGATGATTGCGAAGTTTACAGAAGAAACTATACTCTCCTCCTAGAAGTATAATAGCAATGAACATAATGAATCACAAAATATACTAAAGCATCAAAATACTTAATAGAAAGCAATGCTACCTTTCCCAGTTTATATCTAATCCTAACTTCAGGATTCGACGATTTCATCTTCTTCTTCGCCATAAGCCGGTAAAGCCTCAATTCATTCACCTTGGCCTTCTTTGACTTCTTTTTCTTTCTCACCATCATCCCCTTTCCTTCTTCGGCAGCAGCCCTAGTATCACCCTTTCGACAAGGCGAATCGCCGAAAGAAAACCTAACAACACCATTATCATCCTTTACACCAACAACAGATGCATTGCTCAACAGCCTAACGCTCAACACTCTAGTAATACCCTCAGAAACCCAGGTTACATTACATTCCAATTGCTTATTAAAGATACCCTTTGATTGGTATTGCAAAAAAGTATGAAAATTTGATGAATAATGAGATAAATTGTTCGTTTGTGAAGAACCCCTGCATTAAAACCAAAACATTGTACCCTCAATTTCATGAAAAAATCGCGAAAATCAAGTAATATTCTAGCTAATTGAGCCTAATTGTTGATGATACTACAAGAATTTGAAAGCATAAAGATGAATTAGTCCTTAGAAATAATAAGAAAGAAAATTAAAAAGTGAGAAAATCAATGATTACAAACCGTAGAATGGAATAAAAATGGAGTGAGTTGAAGAGATTGCGATTAGTTGTTCTACACAGTGCCTGCATCATAATTTTGGCTCTAATTCACGCCGTGCAGAGTTGCTTGCTGGTTTAGCCTCAATAAGCCGATTAATGAACAAGTGAACAACTTCAAATGCGAGTAGACAAATACTCTATTTTATTTTATTTTTATTATTTAATTTTTTTTCATCTTGACTAGGAACATAAGATTGAGGGCTTGTGTTAGGTTAAAAATTCCCTAGCCCAATCCAACAAAACATAACAAGTGGTTTTTTTTTTTTTTTTTTTTTTTTTTTTTTTTTTTTGAAAGAAAGAACAAGTGGGCTCTTTAGATTACCAATATGCAAATTTTATAATACTCCTTCATTTTTTGTAAAACTACTACTTTATCTCTACATAAGTACATAATTGACAATAAGTCTTAGCTGCACCCACGCTTTATAATATGAACATTTAGTAAAAAAATATGAACACGTAATTAAAAAAAAATGAACATTGAGTAATAAAAAAATGAACACGTTAAAAAAAATGAACATTTAGTATTTAAAAGAGAACATGTTTAAGAAAATGATTATTTAGTGTATTAAAGTGAACATGATAATCATAAAATTGATGGACCACGACCTAAAAAATGAACATTTAGTAAAAAAAAAAAAATAAATAAATAAATAAAATTAAACACATAAAAATAAAATGGTCATTTAGTAATAAAAAAATAAACACGTAAAAAATGAATATTTAGTAATAAAAAATGAACATGTAAAAAAGAATATGAACATTTAGTATAGTAAAAATGAACATTTATCATACAATCATAAAATAGCTGATCCATACCTAATAAAATGAATAATTCATAAAAATATATGAATACATTATATTAAATGAACATTTAGTACAAAAAAATAAACACGTAAACAAATGAACATGTTTAAAAAAAACTATGAACATTTAGTATATTAAAAATGAACATGATTTTCTTATATTCATATAGGTTCAAATTCATTGTATATAATATTTAACAAAAAATAAAGATAAATATATAGTTAAATTATGTTCATATTTTATATACTAATGTTCATTTTTATTGTACTAAATGTTCATATTGTACAAAATGTTCAATTTTAAAGTACTGAATGTTCACATTATTTTTTTTATTTACAGAACACTATACAAATTCGATTGTAATTATTTTAACTCTAAAAATTTGAATATCTACCTTAAATCTAATTTTGGTTCATCATAGGGACAATAATTATCGATTTATAACATAATTGATTAGGAATCACAAATGCAAAATTGATAAAAATCAACAATTTTACAACATTCACATATTTATAATAAAATAATAACTCAAAACTACCTCAACTTTCACGATCGTGGCGAAGATGATGATGATGGAAAATGCTACAATGGTGACGAATTGGAGAATATCCGGATTAGAAGGACAAAGAAGTATAAATATTGAAGGAAAGTGAGGTAAAAAAGAAAATTAACTTATAAAAAAAGGGGGAAAAAATAGGAGACAGAAATTTCAGATTGAGAAAAAAACAGAGGAGAGAGAAAATTAATAGAGGTAAGAAATAAGAAGAGAAAGAGTTAAGATATAAAGAAGGAAAAAAAAACGTAGGTTCATTTTTGAATTACTATATGTTCATATATGGGTGCAGTGGTGCAGCTAGTGTGTAGCTAAGAATTTGCGCATAACTGACACAGTCAAATTTGATATACATGATAGTGTGCTAGTTTCACCTTAAATACATGTAATTATATATTGATTAAAAAAAATAGTAACAAAGCTAATATTATAAAACTTTATATGACTATACCTATATAACAACAAAATTCATGATAAAATTTGTTCAATATACGATACTTAAAATACTATGATGAAAAAAAATTAAGAAGTTTGATGATAATTATTTTGAAACAAAGAGAGTATTATGAAATTATACGAAGTATTTAATATCTGTCAATTCTATTGATCACACTCAAACCCACTTCTATATTTTAATTTCCTTACAAAAGGGGAGATTATGGTATCCCCTTAAAACTAACATAATATCTTTACATAATCTTCATTAAACACTATTGAAGACTTGAAGCATTGAGTTGATGCATTTTAGACAATTAATTATCACATAAATTACTAATATTTTTTTTTAAAAAAAAAAACGAAGGGGAAAAAAAATGGATGACATTAAAATGTCTATCAATCAAATTTAACATTTTGGAAACTTTACTAATCTTATACGAAGTATATAATTTAAGAGTTATTTTTCAACCACAACACTCCAAACCCCCAATTCTTAAAATCTAAGTAATCCTCTTTTTTTTTTTCTTTTTTTTTTTTGATATTTGCAATAACCTTTAAATAACTTTCACTTCTAAAAAAAATAAAAAAAATTCCATTAGGACGGATGCGCTCTAGTTAGAAATAATTTAAAAGACAATTGGTAAACGAAATTAATTGATTGTTAAGTTTAAGAGTATTAGGAATGCTATTAATCATTGACTTTAAATTTGATATTCCACCATAAATTTGTCAATCAATCAAAATTACTGACATTAATTTGCCAAAATTAGTACTTTGTATTAGTTATCAAAATATCAATGTTAATCGACATTATTTATAATAAAAGATGCAAAATTAAAATCATTTCATTAATATGCCAATCAATCAAAGCTCAATTAAAATTTTGGACACTAATTACAATTTCGTTGATAAATTAAAAGTGAAACGATTCTCTCCCCATCCCAAAGAACTGAAAATACAAAATATTTCTCTGTATCACGTGCAAAAACAGGCTAGTGAAAAGCGTAACCAAACCCGAAACTCAATGTGATTAATTTTCCACACCAATTATTTTTGTCAAATAAATTTCTCTTTTATTCGTGATGACCATTCTGTATAACGAGAATCCAAAGACTCATGTATGTTACTCTTCAAGTTAAGAGCATTGTCATGCTTATAATATTAACAGAGTGCCTAAACGAGTTGCAATCTGCTTGTGCGAAAGAAAGTATTACATAAACCTATAACATGGATTGCACCTGACATTCTCTTATTTTTTATGCTGCTTGTAAAACTATGTATGCTACAACAATACATCCTTAAGCAATAAGCAAATACAAGAGTTCTCCAAATACAAGGAAAACCAGTTGCTCAAAACAAAATTTAGTAGTATCTATAGCTTTACATCAACATCAGTCGTAAATATCATAGCAAAATAAATAAATAATAATAAAAAAATCTACTCTACAAAAAACAGCTCCTGCAGTAGCACTAGCATTGTAAACATAAAGAACTTTTTTTCCTTGGTTGTTTCCACAATTTATGATTTTTTTTACGTTTTCGGTGACATATGCATATGTTTCATGTTAATGAGGATGAGTAGTTAATCTTCCTAATGACAATAAAGTCTGATGACAGAATTAGCACCAGCAGTAAATAACCAGGGTTGCCTAGGATGGAATTTGCAATCCAGAATGCCTGCAGATACAAAGATAGATGATGGGAAAAAAAAAAAAAAAAAAAAAGTAAGCAAGGCATCAGCAGAAACAAGAGATCCTGAAACCATTTAACATTTAGAGTGCAAAGAAGAGAAGCATGCATATGCATTAAACAAATCAATTAGTCTTCAAGTTTGCTTCTCATTAACCACACCCCCTCTCCCTAAAAAATAGGATAGTAAAAATAAAAATGCCATGATATAATTTTGTAGTCTGTACTGTATAACTCAACTAAATCTATACGAAACCAAAATGGAGTAAATATGATTTAAGAGCATGTAGAAATAGACGGGTGTGTGCTTGTTTATTCGTTTAAATTTTGTAAGGCAATAAGCAGATATTTAATATGTGACATATATCATTACCAATAACATTAGCATTACATTACAAGCATGCAAAGCCATAACATAATTGCCAGCATTTTTTCTTGGCTAGAAAATAAAATACAGAAGCAGTTTAACCTTCAGCAAGAAAGAAAAAGACAAAAGCCACAACAAAAATGCCAGCTTTTTTTCTTGGCTAAGAAATAAAATACAGAACCTTCAGCAAGAAAATAAAGAAAGAAAAGACAAGGTTTGACATTTACCATTTTTCTCTTGGAGAATTCGCAGAGGAACAATGAGAGGATTCTGGTTTAAGTCCGAATAAACCATGCCATGGAAAACATATGCTAGACCATCCTCCGAACATGAAGCGAATAAAGGATATGAGCGGTGAAAGGACACATTTGTGATATCCTTTTTGTGAATCCTGAAAAGAAAACCATTGAACAGGTGAAATCAGTATGTCAAGTTTTTATAAAAGCAGTAGAAAATGGCTTAAAGGATAAAATTCCCAAAGAAGCTCCAAAAGAACAAAGTCACTTCAACCCACTTTTCCCAGGCCAGCCACCTAACCCACCAAGATGCCTTGTAGAAAAAGGATAATGAAACAGAAACAGATAAACAAACATATAGAGATTGCCCTGTATGAATTCTTCACAGCTTATAGATCATACTAAGTTTTGATTATTGCACTTTATTCCTCTTTATCTCAACATTACCACTTTTGGAAGCTAAAAACCAATTGCATAATCCATTAGGACTCCTAATATCAAGGCTGCCCACATTATAAAGCAAACGCAATAAAAATAACACCAGAGATGGGCAATTCAAAATCAATGTCAACCAAATTAAGCCAAGAGGATAGGAAGCCTTTTAAAAGAGAGAACATACTTCAGGTTTGCGTAAGGTTTTACGGAGGAGAGATCCATGTCAAACCAACACAACTTTCCTTCTCTACTCCCGATAATCACATTATCGCCTGCATTATAGTTATAACAAAAGTTTTACATAAAAGCACATGTACAACTACAGAATTAGAACTATGTTAAAAATGAGCAAAGAATGGATTGTTACCACCGGGATGTACTGCAATGCATGAAACTTCACGCAGCCCTGTATCAATTTTTTTGATCATTTTTTCCTTGAGTAAATCATACACACGAACATTTTTCTTGGTTGAGATAAAGAAAATGGAACGAAGTGGATGAAAAGCCGTAGAGACTGGAAGTCCATGCAACTTGAAAGGGATTCTCTGACTTCCTTTTCTAGACAGCTGGTGTATCATTATCGCTCGAGATTCACGTAAAAAGAATGTTAAGAAAATTCATGGGGCAAACAAGTAACAGTGAACATCATATTTAGCATTGTTGAAGATACTCAAGTGTGCCCAGTCTTATTTCCCACAAAGAAAGCCAAGCGGTCAGGTACAAGTATAACCTAAGTCAATTAAAACTTCAATTTTTAACCAAATGGAAATCAGATAATCAACTCGAATAAAGGACCTAGAGCGTATGAAGCCAATTTTTAAGATAAGGTTTTTATTAGTAATCCTGCTTCACTCTGTTTTAGCCACCAGTTCAACAGAAAAGGATAGTGTGTTTATTACCTAAAGTGTGTTCACTCTGCTTCACCCAAATTAAAGCCCCAGGCCCCAACACATTAATAATAAAGAGCCAAGAGCATCTGTTAGGATTATCACAAAAAATTGCTCTAGAATTGATTGGAACCAAGAATATTTCACTGCAACACACACAACACACACACACCCCATGTAGAGCAAACAAGAGCTTCTCATAACTACTACAGTAA